CATGAATATCCAATTGTTCCAGCATCTTTTGTTGAAAAGACTACCCTTTCCCCATTAGGACTTCCCTGGTGGTTCAGCTGGTAAGGAATCTGCCTGCAATGCAGGAGACTCAGGTTTGACTCCTGGGTTGGGAAGATCCCCTGGAGAAGGGAACAGCTACCCACTCCAGTATCCTGGCCTGGAGAATTCCATTGACTGTGTAGTCCATGGGCTCGCAAAGAGTCGGACACGACTGAGTGCCTTTCACTTTCACTTTCTCCATTGAAATAAATATGAATTGATCTGTAACCTGCTTGGTACCACCTAACTGATGAGTCCAGAAGGCATACTGATAACCATAGTACCTCCAGCCAGTTTTTCTGCCTTCATCTCACTTCACTCTTACCCCAAACTCAGTGGTAAAGCAGATAATATCACCACTATTTTTAAAAGCAGATGAAACCAAGACTTCGGAAGGTTAAGTGGCACAGCCTCTTAACTTCAGCCACTTTGTTATTTCAATCAAAAATAGAGTCTAAAGACCAAACAATGAAACAATGGTTTACACGTAAGAAAAGAAATACGAGCTCATTAACTAATCAGGAGGTCTTATTTCCAAAGAGTAAATCTGATTACATCGCTGCCTGTTTGAAACCCTTCAATGGCTCCCTTATGCCTAAAGGAAAAAAAAAAACCCGAATTCCTTTGTGGGGCATGAGAAGGCCTTTGTGAGGCATGCGATGTGGCCCCTCATTACCTCTCGGCCGCACTTTCAAAGCCCTCTCTTGAGCGGCTACTCAGTCATGCAAAATGTTCTGCAATTCTCCCAAGCCTCTGGCCTTTTTGTGCCCTTGCCTCGGCTCAAGTTAATTGCTTTTTCTTAAAGGTCCATCTTCCAAAACCATCCTTCGCTCCCTCCCTCCAACTCGACTGGCCAATTTATTTTTAAATACTGATTCAGCTCAAAGGCCACCCTCTCTGAGACATTCCTTCCTGCTTCCAGAGACAATCTATTATGAACAGTGACCCTCCAGAGGGCAGGACCTTTTGTTCATATCCTCTCTGCATTGCCTAGATCCAGGTTACAGTCTGTGTGAGATAAAGGTTTGCTGAGCAAGTGAGGGCCAGTCAGTGTCTGTCTTGATCTCTTGTACTGGAAATATGTGAAACGTCCCACGTGAAAGTCATCAACATGTTGCTTTAGTAATTCCCAAGATTACTCCTTTCCTCAGTAGTGATCACTAAAGCCTGAGAAAATAAAAATACACCAGGAGAGACAGAGAGAAGCTGAAACTCCAATCCTTTGGCCACCTGATGCGAAGAACTGACTCATTGGAAAAGACCCTGATGCTGGGAAAGATTGAAGGCAGGAGGAGAAGCGGACGACAGAGGACGAGAGGGTTGGATGGCATCACCGACTCGATGGACAGGAGTTTGAGTGAGCTCCGGGAGATGGTGAAGGACGGGGAAGACGGGTGTGCTGCAGCACTTGGGGTTGCACAGTCAGACATGACTAAGAGACTGAACAACAAAGAAGAGAATTAGGGCTGCCTTTTTTCGCTGTCACACTTTTGATGAGGTGAATGTTCAGACAAGACCACAGTTATGAAGACTATAGTCGTCTGCCTTGAGTGCCATCAGGTTGTATCAGTAACTCGGCCAGTGCCCTGCCTGTGAGCAGCCTGGGCGGGAAGCCCTCTGACAGACTGTGCGTCCTCAGACACACCTGGCTGAGAGCAGGATTAATGCTGATGAGAAACGTGCCTGGTTCTCTGCACAAAAGATGAGGTTGGAGAGGAAGGTCGCCAAGGGAGGATCGGGTTGGGGGGTGTGGAATGCAAGCCTGTGCTCAGGAATCACCCTGTAAGATGATGAGCTCTGGAGCTGACTGCCTTCTGAGCGGTTCCCAGTGTCTGATTCACAGGCAGGATTTTCTTGCTCTTATTCGGCCTTCAACATTTTAGCAAAGATTAAAAAAAAAAAATCTAGCAGGAAACAAGGAGCCACAGTGAAACTTGGGGAAGAGATTTGGATCTGGATATTTTTCAGATCGAAGATGGGCTGAGAACGGGAAAGTACTTAGTTTTCGTTTTCGTAGGCGTGGGAATAATTGCATGACTAAAGACCCCAAATTCTTCCCTTCCCACAGTGATCCCTCCTTCCTTAACGATTTGACGTGTATTAGTACTTACTAGTCCTAACTAGCCCTCTAACTGTATCATGTGTTTCAGTTTCTCCTCTCCAACAAGACTGTGACATTCATGTGAAAAGAAAAAATCGAGATATATATATATTTATATAGTAGCTCAGAGTACTACTAGACACATTAGAAATAAATAATACATGGGTGTTAATTGATTAATTTATGACAAATGCTTAAGGGATTAAATGACCATCATTTAAAAATAAAATCAAACTGAAAACTTCTCTCAGTGAAAACTTTCCACAGATTTTTTTTTTTGAAGAGTGGGGAGGCAGTGGGCGTGCTGAGTTTTCAATTAGATATTTTGCTGCCAAGAAGAGAAACTTAGAGTATAGGAAAAAACAAAACCTGAAGCCAAACAAAGCTGATACTTTTCAAGGGCTCACTTAATTTCAAAACCACAGCATTTTTCGTTATTTTTTAACTTAAGAAAAAAAGACAGCTATGCACATCTGCTCAAAATTCAGTCCAGAGGTGAAATGATAAAATAAAGCTGTATCACACATGTACAGTTTTGCTGTCCCCTGTTGGCACACGGAGCTGCCAGAGGACATGCTTAAATAACCTGGCATGTGAGCCCCAGTACTTGTTAAGGGCCCAGACACACGTCCCATGGAAAGCATCTATACAGATAATTTCAAATCAGAAATGCTGAATTCTTGCAGGCTCCTGTTTTGACCAATCCCATCTGAGATTATATGGGAACAAGCTGTTTTCAGCATCTACACCTGACTCCAGGCACAAGGACATAGAAAAAACTGGTGCCTAAATCCCATGCCTCCATTTGCTGGAATTCTGAGTTTTTCTTCGCAAGTTCTCTCAGGCTGGCCTAGCCTTTCTGGGGATTGATTACCTTTCTGGGTTGTGCTGCAATATAATTCTTACCCCCTTTAGTTTGTGCAAAAACTCTTTTGGAGGGTACTGTCCACCATTTCTTCACTTAAAGCCATCCTTACATAAACCAATTATTTTTAGATTTGGCTTGGAGGATAATAAATCTGTAAAAAATCACATTCTTCTGTCCGCAGCTGTTATTACATATTTCTCTTGTTTCCACTTTTGCTTTGGCCTCCAGAAAGCTCAGTCATATTTTGTATTCAATTATAGAAACAATGTTACATGTTAATATTATTGTATTTGCTGTAGCTTTTCCTTCTACCCACTTCTCCCTTTAATGGGTCTATCATATGCTTTTCTCTGGTAAACTTTATCAAGACCCCTCTGGAGAAGGGCAGGACTTATAGAAATGATAAAGCATAACTATTAAAAAAAATTTTTTTTAATGTTTGGCTGCGCTAGATCTTTGTTGCCACATGAGGGCTTTCTCTAGCTGCAGTGCCCGGGCTTCTCATTTCAGTGGCTTCTCTTGTCGTGAAGCATAAGCTCTGGGTGCGTGGGCTTCAGTAGTTGCAGCACGTGGACTTAGCAACTGTTGCTCGCAGACTCTAGAGCGTGCTCAGTAGTCGCTTCCAGGCATGTGGAATGTTCTTCGACCACGGACTGGGAACCTGTGTCTGTAGGCAGTATCCCCTGCTTTGGCAGGCAGGTTCTCATCCTCTGTACCACCAGGGAAGTCCATAACTATCTTTTATCGTCCAGCTAAATTGTCTTTGTTTTAGATTATTTGCCCTGGAAGAAATGGACTGCACCCTCTTTAAAGGAATGAGAGAAGAATAGCTTGCTTTTCCATGAGGTTAACCATGAACACAGCATTCACGCTGGCACAGGAATAGGTTTGATAACCAGGGAATGACTTATTCTTAGACGATTTAGTTTCTCAAGTTCTCTTCTTTATTTAGTGTGTTACCCTGGAAAGGTACACAAAGTATATCTAAGAAAGTACAGTTAATAAAATTATGCAGACAACAGCAATGAAGTTAGAACAACCATGACTAAATACTGCAAACTGTAAATAAGATTTTAAAACGTAGATTTGTCTGGATGTTAGAGACACACTGGCCCAGATGATCAGTCCTGGGGTCCATCCATAATGGGTTCCCTTCAACAGTGTCCTGCATTAGCCACCCAAGCTTTGCATGTGGGGCCCTGGGTGTGCGGGCTGCCTTGCACTGCCTTGTCCTCATAATCATTCCCACTGGATCCTCGGTTAGACAGACATGGCTCTAGAACAGATATAGCTCATCAACTCTGCATGGAGGTGAAGGAGCTCTCTGAGCAAACACGGCAGCCAGGCAGGGGCTGGAGGGTGGTCACAGGTGCAGTGGCAGCCAGGGAAGCCCTTCTGACTCCAGGTACTTCCACCACCCTCTCTGGGGTGCTGTGCACACCTTGATTTCCCATGACATCACAATTCCTCTAATCTGGAAGCAATGTTGAGGTCTCCTGGGAAGCTCCCCACTGAACACAGTGGGGCTGGGGTCCCTGAGGTCTCCTGGGCAGTTCTCCACTGCACACAGAGGGGACATAGTTTCTGACGCCTCCTGGGCAGTTATGCACTGCACAGAGTGGGGCTATGGTTCCCGAACCTTCCTGTGTCTTTTGAGCTGTGAGTGGCCCCCGTCTTGCCCTGGACCCCGGGTGGGTCCTGGGCTGCATCACCTGGGGAAGCCTGGAGGGCAGGTGGCCCGCCAGCCTCTGCTGTACCTTGGGAGGCTGAGTCCCATCACTTTCTGGACTTCCTTTTCTCATTTGTGAAATGAGGAGATTGGAGCAGCCTCTGTTTTGAGCAAACCCCTTGGGATCTGTATCAGAATAATTTTCACAAAGACAAAAAAAATTAAAAAACTAAAGCCACAAAGGAGGGTCTTTTCCCCATACCCTGTGTTGTAGCAGCTCTGATGTGGGAATCTTTTTAACGATGCCGCTGCGCCCCCCTGTGGTTGGAAGCAGAGTCACCAAGGGTGTTGCTGCCCTGGACTCTGGGGAAATGCGGGCTGGAACCTTGGCTATCAGTACAGATGCCTCCAAGGTCAGTACGGACACACAGACTAAGCCAGCCAGCACTTGCCAGATAGACTGGGGGCCAAGGACAATGGAGAGACCCCAGCGTCAGCAACTGGGAAGACTAGAAGCCAACGGAGTCCCTCTTGCTTGGAGGACAAGAAGTGGGGGGTTTCTCAGCCACCACCCTCCATCCCCGAGAGTCAGCTTCCCACCCCATGGGACCAGCACCAAAAGAGCTCCCAGGCCGTGCTTGGAGCCACTGGGTGGCCTTCTCATCCGGTCCTCACCTCCTGGCTCAGCTGCCTCCAGACCAGAGGCTCACCCACCAACTCAGGAAGAGCGGCCCTGTCACAGAAAGGCCTGCTAACAATTTCTGGGAGCTAAAGACAGCATCCGGGCAATAAAATGTAGCCTAACCTTTGCTTTTCCTCTGTGCTTAGTCTAGAGTCACTGGCTCACATTGGGAAGGGTAGAGTGCAGAAGCCCTGCCCACACACAGAACCCAACATGGCAGATGTGATGGGCCCTGTGCAGAGAGGCTGCCCCGGCAATGGGACTGGAGCCTAACATCTCAGCTGTGCCGACCCCAGTGAGCACTCTGTCTCCTCCAAGCCAAGGAGACCCAAAAGCAACCCCACCTCAGCCTGTGCAGGAAGCAGGTGCTCTAGACTAGGAGCTCTAGCCTCTCCATTCTTTAAAATTTTGTTTATTTTTTTAATTGAAGTGGGAGGTTAGGGTAAGCAGATGCAGGCTATTATGTACAGAATGAATAAATAAGATCCTACTGTATAACACAGCTCAGTTCAGTTCATTTCAGTAGCTCAGTTGTGTCCGACTCTTTGTGACCCCATGAACTGCAGCATGCCAGACTTCCCTGTCCATCACCAACTCCCAGAGCTTACTCAAACTCATGTCCATCACGTTGATGAGGCCATCCAACCATCCTATCCTCTGTCATCCCCTTCTCCTCCCACCTTCAGTCATTCCCAGCATCAGGGTCTTTTCTGAGTCAGTTCTTCACATCAGGTGGCCAAAGTATTGGAGTTTCATCTTCAGCATCAGTCCTTCCAATGAATATTCAGGACTGATTTCCTTTAGGATGGACTGGTTGGATCTCCTTGCAGTCCAACGGACTCTCAAGAGTCTTCTCCAACACCACCATTCAAAAGCATCAATTCTTTGGCACTCAGCTTTCTTTATAGTCCAACTCTCACATCCATACATGACTACTGGAAAAACCATAGCTTTAACTAGATGGACCTTTGTTGGCAAAGTAATGTCTCTGCTTTTTAGTATGTTGTCTAGGTTGGTCATAGCCTTTCTTCCAAGGAGCAAACATCTTTTAATTTCATGGCTGCAGGCACCATCTGCAGTGATTTTGAAGCCCAGAAAAATAAAGTCTCTCACTGTTTCCATTGTTTTCCCCATCTAAATGCCATGAAGTGATGGGACCCAATATCATGATTTTAGTTTTCTGAATGTTGAGTTTTAAGCCAGCTTTTTCACTCTCCTCTTTCACTTTCGTTACAAGGCTCTTTAGTTCTTCTTCGCTTTCTACCATAAGTGTGGTGTCATCTGTGTATCTGAGGTTATTGATATTTCTCCTGGCAATCTTGATTCCAGCTTGTGCTTCATTCAGCCTGGCATTTCGCATGATGTACTCTGATAAGCAGGGTGACATTATACAGCCTTGACATACTCCTTTCCCAATTTGGAACCAGTCTGTTGTTCCATGTCGAGTTCTAACTGTTGCTTCTTGACCTGCATACAGATTTCTGAGGAGGCAGGTCAGGTGCTCTGGTATTCCCATCCCTTTCAGAATTTTCCATAGTTTGCTGTGATCCACACAGTCAAAGGCTTTGACATGGTCAATAAAGCAGATATATGTTTTTCTGGAACTCTCTCACTTTTTTGATAATCCAACAGATGTTGGCAATTTGATCTCTGGTTCCTCTGCCTTTTCTAAATCCAGTTTGAACATCTGGAAGTCCATGGTTCACATACTGTTGAAGCCTGGCTTGGAGGATTTTGAACATTCCTTTGCTAGCTTGTGAGATGAGTGCAATTGTGTAGCAGTTTGAGCATTTTTTGGCATTGCCTTTCTTTGGGATAGGAATGAAAACTGAGCTTTTCCAGTGCTGTGACCACTGCTGAGCTTTCCAAATTTGCTGGCATGTTGAGTGCAGCACTTTCACAGCATCATCTTTTAGGACTTTAAATAAACTCAACTGGAATTCTATCACCTCTGCTAGCTTTATTCATAGTGATGCTTCCTAAGGCCCACTTGACTTCACATTCCAGGGTGTCTGGCTCTAGGTGAGAGATCACACCATTGCGATTATCTGAGTCATGAAGATCTGCTTTGTATAGTTCTTGTGTGTATTCTTACCACCTCTTCTTAATATCTTCTGCTTCTGTTAGGTCCATACAATTTCTGTCCTTTATTGTGCCCATCTTTGCATGAAATGTTCCCTTCGTATCTCTAATTTTCTTGAAGAGATCTCTAGACTTTCCCATCCTATTGTTTTCCTCTATTTCTTTGCGTTGATCACTGGGGAAGTCTCTCTCATCTCCTTGCTGTTCTTTGGAACTCTGCGTTCAAATGGGAAAATCTTTCCTTTTTGCCTTTGCTTTTCACTTCTCTTCTATTCACAGCTATTTGTAAGGCCTCCTCAGACAACCATTTGCCTTTTTGCATTTCTTTTTCTTGGGGATGGTCTTGATCACTGCCTCCTGTACAAAGTCACGAACCTCCATCCATAGTTCTTCAGGCACTCTGTCTATCAGATCTGATCCTTTGAATCTATTTGTCACTTCCACTGTATAATTGTAAAGGATTTGATTTAGTTTATACCTGAATGGTCTAGTGGTTTCCCCTACTGTCTTCAATTTAAGTTTGAATTTGGCAATAAGGAGTTCATGATCTGAGCCACAGTCAGCTCCCAGCCTTGATTTTGATGACTGTATAGAGCTTCTCCCTCTTTGGCTGCAAAGAATATTATCAATCTGATTTCAGTATTGACTACCTGGTGATGTCCATGTGTAGAGTCTTCTCTTGTGCTGTTGGAAGAGGGTGTTTGCTATGACCGGAGCATTCTCTTGACAAAACTCCATTGGCCGTTGTCCTGCTTCATTCTGTACGCCAAGGCCAAATTTGCCTGTTACTCCAGGTATTTCTTCACTTCCTACTTTTGCATTCCAGTCCCCTATAATGAAAAGGACATCTTTTTTGGGTGTTAGTTCTAGAAGGTCTTGTAGGTCTTCATAGAACCATTCAACTTCAACTTCTTCAGCATTACTGGTTGGGGCATAGACTTGGATTGCCGTGATATTGAGTGGTTTGCCTTGAAAACAAACAGAGATCATTCTGTCATTTTTGAGATTGCATCCAAGTACTGCATCTTGGACTCTTTTGTTGACTATGATGGCTACTCCATTTCTTCTAAGAATTCCTGCCCACAGTAGTAGATGGAATGGTCATCTGAGTTAAATTCACCCATTCCAGTCCATTTTAGTTTGCTGATTCCTGAAATGTCAATGTTCACTCTTTCCATCTCCTGCTTGACCACTTCCAATTTGCCTTGATTCATGGACCTAACATTCCAGGTTCCTATGCAATATTGCTCTTTACAGCATTGGACTTTACTTCCATCATCAGTCCCATCCACAACTGGGTATTGTTTTTGCTTTGGCTCCATATCTTCATTCTTTCTGGAGTTACTTCTCCACTGATCTCCAGTAGTATATTGGGCTCCTACTGACCTGGGGACTTCATCTTTCAGTATCATACCTTTTTGCCTTTTCACACTGTTCATGGGGTTCTCAAGGCAAGAATACTAAAGTGGTTTGCCATTCCCTTCTCCAGTGGACCACCCATGACCCATCTGTCTTGGGTGGCCCTATACAGCATGGCTCATAGTTTCATTGAGGGAGACAAGGCTGTGGTCCATGTGATCAGATTGGTTAGTTTTCTGTGATGGTGGTTTCCAGTCTATCTGCCCTCTAGTGGAGAAGGATTTCTATACACATTCACCTATCCAGTGACAAACTGTAATGGAAAAGAATGTGAAACGGAATGTACACATGTGTGTAACTGTGTCACTTTACTGCACAGCAGAAATAACACAACCCCACTCTCTTTGATCAAAGGATAAAGCTTTCCTTTGCTTCCAAACCAAACTTGGTCTTGTTCTATGGGCTCCAATGACACTGACAGGAGGCTGACTCGTGGGCCGACAATGACACTTGTGGGGCCGACTCAAAAGGGTCAGCAACAAAGAGTGGCCATCCCACCTCCTGGCCAGCATCCAGAGCCTCCTCGCTGTGCTCCTAATAGAGAGGAAAAGGCCACGGTTTTTTCAAAAGCCCAAGAGGAAGCAGCCACAGAGAACAGACACAATGCAGGTCATGCTATTTTCAGATGGGAGTCAAGCAGTCCCAGATAAGGGACCCAGCTGGGACCACGGAGACAATGGAGGCGTGGGGGAGGGGGCAGATGCTGGCCCATTATAAAAATATGGCCCTAAAGGGAACCCAGGCAGCAGGAAAGAAAGCTGTCAACTGGAATAAGGTAAAGGAAATCAGTCCGGAGCCAGAGGAAAACACCTCAGCATTCCTGAGGCACCTTGGGGATGCCTCCAAGTCTATACCACCACTGACCCTGAGTCACTGGAGGGGAACACAATCCTGAGGTCGCATTTCATTTCTAAACCTGCCCCAGCATTAGGCGCAAACATCAGGAACTGGAAATAGAAACAGATACCCAGACCTCTCACTCGGTCAAGGTTAATTCAGTTCAGTTCAGTTGTTCAGTCATGACGAACTCTTTGTGACCCCACGGACTGCAGCACGCCAGGCTTCCCTGTCTGTCACCAACTCCTGGAGTTTACTCAAACTCATGTCCATTGAGTCGGTGATGCCATCTAACCATCTCATTCTCTGTCATCCCCTTTTCTTCCCACCTTCAATCTTTCCCAGCATCAGGGTCTTTTCCAGTGAGTCAGTTCTTCACATCAGGTGGCCAAAGTATTGGAGTTTCATCTTCAGCATCAGTCCTTCCAATGAATATTCAGGACTGATTTCCTTTAGGATGGACTGGTTGGATCTCTGTCCAACGGACTCTCAAGAGTCTTTTCCAACACCACCATTCAAAAGCATCAATTCTTTGGCACTCAGCTTTCTCTTTAGTGCAACTCTCACATCCATACATGACCACTGGTAAAACCATAGCTTTGACTAGACAGACCTTTGTTGGCAAAGTAATATCTCTGCTTTTTAATATGCTGTCTAGGTTGGTCATAACTTTTCTTCCAAGGAGCAAGCATCTTTTAATTTCATGGCTGCAGTCACCATCTGCAGTGATTTTGAAGCCCAGAAAAATAAAGTCTCTCACTGTTTCCACTGTTTCTCTATCTATTTCCCATGAAGTGATGGGACCAGGTGCCATGATCTTAGTTTTCTGAATGTTGAGTTTTAAGCCAGCTTTTTCACTCTCCTCTTTCACTTTCACCAAGAGGCTCTTTAGTTCTTCATTTTCTGCCATAGTGGTATCTGCGTATCTGAGGTTATTGACATTTCTCCCAGCAACCTTGATTCCAGCTTGTGCTTCATCCCGTCCAGCATTTCAACATGATGTACTCTGCATATAAGTTAAATAAGCAGGGTGACAGTATACAGCCCTGACGTACTCCTTTCCCAATCTGGAACCAGTCTGTTGTTCCATGTCCAGCTCTAACTGTTGCTTCTTGACCTGCACACAGGTTTCTGAGGAGGCAGGTCAGGTGCCCTGGTATTCCCATCTCTTGAGTGTAGCAGTGCGTACATGGGACCTTTTGAAGGAGGTCACCATTACCTTCATTACCTTCACCATAGTTTGGCCTCAGGTCAAACAACAGGAAGGGAACACAGTCCCCCCCCATCAGCAGAAAATTGGATTAAAGATTTACTGAGCATAGCCCCTACCATCAGAACAAGACCCAGTTTCCCCCATCAGTCAGTCTCTCCTATCAGGAAGCTTCCATAAGCCTCTTATCCTTCTCCACCAGAGGGCAGACAGACTGGAAACCACAATCACAGAAAACTAACCAATCTGATCACATGGACCACAGCCTTGTCTAACTCAATGAAAGTATGAGCCATGCCTTGTAGGGCCACCCAAGACAGATGGGTCATGATGGAGAGTTCTGACAAAATGTGGTCCACTGGAGAAGGGAACGGCAAACCACTTCACACACACATTTGCTTTTGGGTGGAACTCAGCCTCCTTCTGTTGGGGTGAGCAAACGGGGGAGGGCCCTTGTTGGGGCCTGACTCACAGGGTCAGTATCAGCCCCACTGACCCCAGGACATGTGTCCTGGCAGGGGAGTTGTGGACGCTACCTCCGCTCTCCACTGGGCACTGGGCAGGTGTCAGTGGCAGTGGCCCTGCCCTCTGTGAGCGCCCACTTCCTTGGATGTAGGCTGGTTTTATCGTGAGGTTTGCGGTGAGGTGGGAATGGGGTAAGGAATTCCTTTGCGGTAAGGAATGGGAAACGCAGAGTCCCTGGCCCTCCACCAACGAGGTCCCCATGCACAGCCAATGGTGATGTGTACAGGTGCACTTCTGGGATTCTCTCGTGAACTGACGCCAACTCGACCCCATACAGAGGGGGTCCTTCCTGGTCGGGGCTGTCCTGCATCATCGGTTCTTTGAGAACATGCTTCATGTGTCCTCAGATCGCCCTCCAGTCAGGAGAAGCCAGAAACCTGGATGGTACGTGAAATCTTCCAACTTTTAAATGTTGACAATGTTTAAAAATGCTTATTTATTAAACATGCTTGTGTGCCTAGTTGCTCAGTCCTGTCCAACTCTTTTGTGACCCCCATGGACTGTAGCCCGCTAGGATCCTCTGCCCACAGGATTTCCCAGGCAAAGATACTGGAGTGGGTTGCCATGCCTTTCTCTAGGGAATCTTCCTGACCCAGGGATCGAACCCGAGTCTCCCACACTGCAGGCAGATTCTTTACCATTTGAGCCACTGGGAAAGGCCTCTTAAGAAACACCATGCTGAGCAAAAAGTAAAGGGCAGATGAGACACATCCAGGCAGTAATTCAGCAAGGTGAGCAGCAGGGAGAGCAATTAAACCCTCAGTAAGGCGGCAGGAAAAGTTGTCTTTTTCTTTTTTTCCTCCATTAAGACAACTTTTATTGCAGGTGCATCACAAACTTCTCTTCATCTTCTCATTAACTTAACGAGGGAGGCGTTGCTGATATAGAGTACAGCTGACCCAGACGAAGGACGCAGTCCCTCGTCCTCTAACACCGCATTTTAGACAAGAAGAGCAACGGCAGAGCGGGGATGGACTCGCGTGGCGTCAAGAAGATCAGACTCGAACCGGTGTCTGTCACAGCCCGGTGTATTCTGTTCACCAGACCTTTTTATTTACTTGACGTTCCAGCAAAAGACAGTGTTTTATTTGTGAAACACACTTCATGTTTTACATACTTCATCTCACGTTTTTTCAGAACTAACCTTCGTCCTAAGGGGACTACGATCATTCCTAAATAACCCTAAATAAGAGCTAGAATGTTGTCGTTGTCTCTTATCTCATAAGAGATGTAGCTATATCACTGGAAAAAAATACAGCAAAGCACATAAAGAAGGGCTCCCTCATGTTTGGAGATGGTGCTGCTGCTTTAATTATGCTGTGGCTTTTCTCTCTTGTGTATTTGCTAGACCTGGGTGGGTGGAATTTCATGGGAGGACTGGCATGAATTTAATGGCTTGGGAGAAGCCCAACTGGAAAAGCTAACTGTCCTGTTTAGGTGGGAAAGGGGAGAAATGGGAGGACTTTCATGTTACCATGTGGGTGAAGTTTGCATGAGGGAGGGTGATGGACTTTTCCCCTAAACACTCTCCAAACCCACAAGAGTAGCAGTGATATTCTATCTAGAAACGGGGGGGTGGTGACCACATTCCTCACTCTTGGCCCGAGGTTTTACCAAGCATCGGTGCCAGTATTTGAGCTGATGCCATTCAGCTCAGTTCAGTTCAGTTGCTCAGTTGTGTCCGACCCTTTATGACCCCATGGACTGCAGCACTCCAGGCCTCCCTGTCCATCACCAACTCCCGGAGCTTGCTCAAACTCATGTCCATTGCATCGGTGATTCCATTTCTGCTTTGTAAAGAACAACAGGGTATTTTATGTTCTTTCAATTTAGGAGACCCATTAGAAAGAAAAGACAGATTTAGGGTTTAGGCGTAAGTGTTGTTTCTGTGAATCTAGTCAAATGCTCAGCTGGACTCCATGGTGGCCTGGATTTCCCTGGATTTCCTTGTCCCACAGCTAAGATCGGGTAGGACTGTGTATGACATGAGTTACAATGGTGGCGTGGGGTTGGAGGCTGGAAAATAGCCCCGTGTCCTAGTTAAGAACATTTGTAATGGGTTCAGTTAGGAAAGCAGCACTCAAGGAATTGGTTTTGAAGGCATACTATGCTAGATATCTCCACAGTCAATTCTGGTGTGTGTGACTGTGTGTGTGTGTTGCCACATCTAGTGGGTGAAAGGATTCTTGAACACTAGAGCTCTTCCTGGATCACCTAGATCATTTCTCAGTACCCTGGGATTTATTTCAATAGCATTAGCAGTAACTGACTTTGTTGCAAGCAAAGAGCCAACTCATTGGAAAAGACCCCCATGGTGGGAAAGATTGAGGGCAGGAGGAGAAGGGGATGATAGAGGATGACATGGTTGGGTGGCATCACCGACTCAATGGACAAGAGTTTGGGCAGTCTCTGGGAGATAGTGAAGGACAGGGAAGCCTGGTGTGCTGCAGTGCATGGGGTCGCAAAAAGTGTGACATGACTGAGCAACTGAACAATGATACAATGTATCCATACTATAAAACATTATTTAGCCGTTAAAAACTAGGTATTGAGAGCATAGCTAACTTAGGGAGATATTTTATAAGAGTCAATAAAAACTGTCAATACAGATTGAAATTGCTCGAGTCAGGTCTCCTCCGGTTGCCAGGAGCATCGATCAGGCTCAGATAAAAGGGCCTTAAGTAGACTTCAGAGGTCTCGTGAGGATGGGAGAGAGAGATCTGCTGGAGACTGGAGCATCGCTGAGCACAAGGCTCCTTCCTGGGATTCCCGATTGCCTGTCGAGGGAAACCTTCCTCTTCCTGCATCCGCTTCCGTCTCTCCATACCCCCTCCTCTCCTGAAGCACAGTCTCTGCTGTCTCACAGTCCAGCCTGCACACTGCCCTCCTTGCTCCTCTTACACGTACACCTGTTTGTCTCACCTTCATCACTCATTGGCTTCCTCGCTCCATTTCCCAGTTCCAAATTCCTGTGCTAAAGGGACGTGTGGTCTGGAGGAGGCCCTGGGCGGGGGCCGTGCAGGTGGGGCTGGCCTTGCAGCTGGCTTCTCTGGGCTCCCCGAATGCTGAAGCTGTTTGTGTGTCACCGAGCGGGGCCGAGTGTCCCCAGGCCACCCTCTCCACATTCCACGCCCGGATCCGAGGTGAGCTTATACCGCCGTTTGCCCAGCCTTGTGGCCAAGGATTCACTGAATCACGTCACCCGTGACCCAAAGCAGCTGGTCCTGGGCTGACACATGTCACCAGACCCCATTGAAGGCCTCTGAGGAGAGCAGCTGCTCTAGGCGGATAGGTGGCACTGGTAGAATAATATCTGGCTAACATTTGTGGGGAGCTGGGCCTGGTGATGTGCATAACTCTTCATGCACGCAGGCACTGTTGTCCTCTGTTTTACATTTGAGGACGCTGACGCCTGAAGACAAGTCATGTTGCCAGGCCCTTGTGGGAGGTGGGAAGCGGGGGCTTGAACACAGCTAGCGTGTTCTTACTCACCCTGCGCCATCGCCCCACGTCACTGTGTGGGGCCCTTCCACGGTGGGGGAGGGGATAGGATGCGGCACCTTCACAAAGTCCTTCACGACGTCCTCATATCTAGTAAGTCCTGCAGAACACCTGGATTCCAGCGCATCCATAAATAAATGTGGTTCTTCTCACCCTCTGCTGGTGGGACTGTCAGCTGGTAAAGTCTTTTGGGAGGCCAGTTGGCAACTGATTGCCTGGCAAATCCTGTGGACAGAGGAGCCTTGCAGGGTACAGTCTATGGGGTCGCAAGAGTCAGACATAACTGAATGACTAAGCACAATAGGTAGCTAAGTGGTAAAGAAACTGCCTGCCAGTGCAGGAGATACAGGAGACTCGGGCTCAATCCCTGGGTCGGGAAGATCCCCTGGAGGAGGAAATGGCAACCCACTCTAGTATTCTTGCCTGGAGAATCCCATGGACAGAGGAGCCTGGCGGGCTACAGACCCTGGGGTTGCAAAGAGTCAGACACCACTGAGCACGCATGAACATGTAGACAGAAGATGCTTTAAACATGTCCATTCTGTCTGATCTACTATTAACGTCAAAGAATATAGCATAAGAGAATCATTCTAAAGGCAAACAAAGATTTATAGCTGCAGCTGGATATATCTGAAATATTCCACAGTAGAGAAGTTGATAAAAGCCATTATAAATACATCTGATGAAATGGGATAATAAGTCTTCATTAAAAGTTGTCTGCCTGAGGAAGAAGTGTGCTCTGCTTCAGTCCCTGCTGTCCAGCTGTGGACAGATGTCCAGCAACACACCCAGATGCCCACCGTGGCCCGAGGCTGTGGGGACCTGAAAGGACCCCCTAGGTGGGTGACACTGCTTCCCTGGGGCCCATGTGATCACGGGGTCGTGGATCCCCACATGCTCACAGCTCAGGGGCTGTGTGTCCTTTTCAGGACTTGTCAAGGCATCATGTAACTGGGGATTTTCTGAAGTTGACCTGAGCTGACGTATAGTTTTTAAGGGCAAGTGTCTTACTCCCACGTCTGAAGTGATACTTCTCAAATGGGGAACATGTCTTAAAGCAGGAAATATACAAAATTAATAACCTCTACGATTTGAAGAGCTAGAGATTATTAACTATATGCCAAGGACTGCCTACTCCCACACTGCAAGGTAATATTCCCATTTCACAGATGAAGAAACAGAAGGTCAAAAGCATAGGTGACTTGATTAGATGCTGGCTCAGTTACAATGTTGAAGCCAACTGTATGCTCAGTCGCTTAGTCATGTCTTACTCTTTGCAACCCCATGGACTGTAGTCCACCAGGCTCCTCTGTCTATGAGATTCTCCAGGCAAGAATACTGGAGTGGGTTTGCCATTTCTTCCTCCAAGTGATCTTCCAGATCCAGGGATCGAAACTTCGTCTCTTGTGTCACCTGCATTGCAGGCGAATTCTTTACTACTAGCACCCCCTGAGAAGCCAGGCCTGCTTGCTAAGCTGCTGAAAGCAGCTGTTGAGACGAGAGAGCCTGGCCATGTACACAGATGACCTAGCAGAGTCTGGGACAAGGACATGCAAGCTAAGACTCCAGAAGTATGAGCAGGTGCCAAGATGGAGTGGACAGCTCTCAGGCTGAGCGACTGTTTCTGAGTCAATACATATCTGACACTTGCAGAACTTTGAGTTCTGCCGTGCAGGCCGTGTGGGCAGAGGGGCTGGGCCCCAAGATGTGACAGGAGAGAAAAGTGGACCATGGTGGGAGCCGAGTCTGGGAGTCTTCCAGGAGAAGAAGCCAGAGGGTGGTGGTGCCAGCTCCTTAAAAACCCCAGACAAGTGGCCACGGCTTCCCCTCTGGCTAAGCCTTCTGGTTCTGGGCAAGGGTGGCTCTAGAGGACACTTTCATATGCCATTTCCAGGGGTCAGCTTGAAGTGAGGTGGAGATGTGTTGACCTCTGACCTGTGTGCACCAACAGTCAGTCATGGACCTGAATGCAGGAGATCCATGATCACTAATTATCCGAAAGCCTTTGATTCCTTAATATTTTTATGACACAGTCTGAATTCTCTGACAACAATGTCCAAACATGATGAACGTACCAGGAATTTAACGATTTAACTGAACGCATAAAGTTTATAGCTGGGGCATCTGGACAGTGGGGGTGGAGGTCGTGGGCTTGGCCGTGGGTACAGGAACCTACAGAATGTGTGTAAAACAGCACGTAATCGTCTGTAAATGTCATGACAGTGGAAGGGCTTATTTGTGCAAGCTCATGGAGGTGTTGAAACTTCTTCAGGTGGATTCTGCATAACGAGGATTCCACTGGGCCCTTTTATGCAGTGTGAGCAGGTGGGGGAATGGTTCAACGTTTCTGAAAACTATGTATGGCAACCTGAAATCCAACAATAGGGAATCAATTGATCAAGTTATATTATCACTGCAGAAAGTGTTATGATGCAGGCATTAAAAACATGTTCTCAAAGAATAAAAGAGGAAACTATTAGCATAATTTAAGTGGGAAAACCAGATACAAAATTTATATATATGTGTGTATACATGTATATGAAATACGGTTTCCCACGTGACTCAGTGGTAAAGAATCCTCCTGCCAATGCAGGAGACACAGGAGATGCCAGTTCGATCCCTGGGTCAGGGAGTTCCCTGGAGGAAAAAATGGCAACCCACTCCAGTATCCTTGCCTGGAGAATTCCACGGACAGAGGAGCCTGGAGGGCTACAGTCCATGGGGTCACAAAGAGTCAGACACGATTTAGTGATTAAACAACAACAACATACATGAAATATATCATATGATGAAGAGCAATTATGTTAGATGGTAGGATAATGGGTTATATTTGCCATATTTTCTAAAATAAACCCACATTGCCTGGCTAGTTAGCATAAGGCAATAACTGTCATTTAAGAAAAAAAATCTAGGTGTTGTCATTTGATTGCAAAACTATCACCGGATGAGTGACGGCACGAAATCTGGGACTTGGTATAACTGATCGCACTTGTGCGGACATAGATGGTAGGCGGAGCCCAGGACCCCGATTCCTGTCTACACCTGCGCTGAAGACCCACTTTTGATGAATAAAGAATGTATTTGAGAGACAGCAAAGAAGTTGGACACGACTGAGCGACTAAGCACACACAGCACACACACGTGTGCACGCACACACACAGAGAAGCAGTTGGGGGTTCCCTGGTGGCTTAGTCGGTAAAGTATCTGCCTACAATGTGGGAGGCCTGGGTTCAACCCCTGCATCAGGAAGATCCCCTCGAGGAGGAAATGGCAGCCCACTCCAGTATTCTTGCCTGGAGAATTCCGTGGACAGAGGAGTCTGGTAGGCTACAGTCCATGGGATCACAAAGAGCTGGACACGACTTAGCAACTAAACCACCACCACCAGGCCTGGGGTGGAGAACACAGACACAGAAGCAGAGACAGAGGTCAGAGGGCAGGAGAGACTCGCTTAGGGGCAGGGGTCCCCGGGAGGGGGCCATAGCACAGGGCAGTCCTTGCCCAGAGGTCTCTAGCCCCTGGGGACAGACTCCACATCCCCTGCAGAAACATCTCTGACACCCCAGTGTCTTCTTGCTCCCGGCACTGACTCAGTACCATGGCAGGTTCTGAGGGATCCCAAACCCGCTGCAGAGGGTAAGGAGAGATGGGACAGTCTCACCAAAGGTTTGCTCCTGCTTCGGGGAGGCAGGACAGAATGACGCTGCAGGAGCTACACACAGCACGACTTCCTGGAATTTCACTCTCTAAGTCTTTCCCCAAAGCCTCCCTCCTCATAGAAACACTCAGCTTCCCTCCCCACGCCTGGCCCCCTCCAGCTTTCTATCGGCTCCCCTCAACCACTCAGCTCTCCCTCTCCTTGGATTCTGGCTCCTGGGGACTTTCTAGCTAGGTCAGTATAACCAGGCTCACCTCTGAGCTTCTGCTACTTGGGTCCCCACCCTCCTACCTGGAGCTAAAGAAATTCATCTTCTTAGGGACCCCCTTTCCTTGGCAGGTGGGGGAGTGGGGAGTTATAAACACTTAGAGCTTATCTAACAGTTCAAGTTATGGACAGATGATCACGCTAGGTGAAGAAGTAATTGAAGATTTTCCCAGCACCTACCTACAGTCCATGTGGCTTCATTCATCTTGTGACCATGGAAACGATGCTGTCAGTACTGAGAGAACATTACTCAGCCAATAAAACGAAGGCACTTGAGTCAGTTCTAATGAGGTGAGTGAACTAGAGCCTGTTATACAGAGTGAATATCATATATTAATGCACGCATATGGAATCTAGAAAGATGGTACTGACAAACCCATTTGCAGGGCAGCAGTGGAGATGCAGATGTTAGAGAACAGACCTGTGGACACAGTGGGGGAAGGAGAGCGTGGGACAAATGGAGAGAGTAGCATGGAAACATATGCACACAAAACATACTCACATGTACAAAATGAGAGCCTGTGGAAATTCGCTGGATGACCCAGGGAGCTCTGTGACAACCGAGAGGGATGGAATGTGGTGGGAGGTGGGAGGGACGTTTCAGAGGAGGGGACGTTTGTAGGGCTGATTCACGTTGTTGTATGGCAGAAACCAACACAATATTGTAAAGCCATTATCCTCCAATTAAGAAAAAAAAGAACTGAGGGGTGAGGTTTACCTCCAGAGGTCACTGGTGGCCCACATGGCACCACAGTGAGAATCAGGGGAAAAGGGTTCCCCAG